CTCAGACTCTGGGACTCTTGTCTTTGTCCTCAGACTCTGGGACTCTTCGGTTGAACTCGTGTCTTCTCTGTCTGACAGCCGTTGAGAGGACCAGGGCTCGCGCATGCGCATACTTGTCTGCTCGGTCGCAGTTTAGCCGCAGGTCGCTATCAGAGGGAAGCGTCGCCTCTTCGACCCAAAAAGCTCCGGAGCGCTGCGGGAAAGTAATGAGGTAGAAAGCCGGACAGATAACTACACTAACCTCGTGTGGAAAACACCGACAGCCCCGCCGCGAACATGGACCAGGAGTTTGAGGACATAGACTCCGAGGGCCGGTGGCAGATACTCTACTTAGTAAGTCTGTTAGCATCGCTAGCACGAAGCTAACAGTCGGTATCTGGGGCGCGCAGTTGATTTAGCAAGCTAACACTTTGGCTAGCTCCCATATCTGTCATGTAACGTGTTAACGAGCGACGGTTGTTGTTAAGTTTGTGTTTCTCGTCTGTTTGAGATGTTTCTAAGTTGCTGCTTCACATGACAACGCAAACGTGACCGTGTTGTCAGTGTCGTAATGTTGAGTATTCGGTGGGTTGTTTCTGATCAGCTGCTTTATTTAGCTTTTCACTTTTCTGGCGGTTCTCGTCAGATTAAAACGTTTATTCTCCTCAGCAGGATCTTAACGGGAAAGGTTGTGATGATCAGATCTGAGGCTGAACTGTGTTACTCCACTGTGATTATCAAACTCATTTCACACAGGGCTTGATGTGACTGGTTTCCTGTTTGTCCAGTGCATTGGTGCAGTTGAGCCCCTGACAGAAAAACCTGTGGTGACTTCCTGCTATTAAAAACCCTCCTTTTATTTTCGGCAGGATATCAGGAATCAGTCCCACGAGTGCTCCTACAAGGTGGCCAGATATCCAGAGAATCGCAACCGGAACAGATACAGAGATGTCAGTCCATGTGAGTAAACATCTGTGGACAGGTCAAACTGTTTACGCACGTGACGTCCCCCTGAGTCATTAACTGTTCTGTCAATTTACAACTGTTCCTCAAATAAAGTTTAACCTCTCTGTCCGCCTGCAGTCGATCACAGTCGAGTGAAGCTGGAGAACACAGACAACGACTACATCAACGCAAGTCTGGTGGTGATGGAGGAGGCCCAGAGAAGTTACATATTGACTCAGGCAAGATTTTTTATTCCAGCAATAACTAGAATAGCACCAAGTGAAGTACATCCCTCCTGCCAAGGCTGAACAATCCTATACATGATTGTCTGCTTCTAATAGTAGAAATATAAAACCAGAATAGAGACGTGGTCTGATAATCTAAATTAATTATTTGACATGAAAATCAATGTAACAATTATTATACTCTTATCTACATGTAAGCTCACCCCTGAACATTTTTGAAAAAAATGAAAAATGGCCTGTTAAAGAAAATGAAAAATCCTGGATCCTTAATTAATCCACGCCTTAATTTAAATGTGTTCTCCCCAGGCTCAGACCCCATTCCCCCAACAAGTTTGGTGGGTATCTGTCAGAGATAACAATCATCCATGCAGATCTATTATGTGGAGACTGAGCAATCAATTTGTTACCAAAATAATTGCAGATTAATTTCAAGTCCCAGCATCACTGGAAAAAAGGCAACCGTAGGAGTGTGCTTAGCTTTTGCAAGTTGTGTATGTGCAAATACAGAGCTGGTGGATGTGTGATTCTTATGATGTTATCTTCTTTATATAGTTTCATACACTTAACGTAAAGCAGTTTGAGATGATGGAGTTTAAAAAGTAGAATTTCAAAATGTGTATTTTTGACTTCATGCACAACATAAGAAATCACTTTGGCAGTTGGGCTGAAAACATTTCCTTGTAGAACTTTCAGGAAGTTTTGTAGGTTTGTATTTTTCAGTCTGCACTGCTGACCTTTCCAAACTGTCAGGACTGGCTTTTAGGTTCACTCTTATCATGTTTGACTGTCGTCACGTAACTGATCAAACTGTATGTGTGTCGTTCACAGGGCCCTCTCAGAAGCACTTGTGGCCATTTTTGGCTCATGATCTGGGAGCAGAAGTCGAAGGCGATCATCATGCTCAACAGGGTCATAGAGAAAGGCTCAGTAAGTTCACAATAAAACACAGATCTTATTGTCTGGTTTGACATCTGGCATTTGTCTTGTGTGCACACACCCACACACAGAGACTGTAGAAATGCTAATTAGACCCCAGCAATCATATCACACCTATCATTCATGCTCATACAGTCATGGCTCTTGTTCAGAGTTTAATGCCTAATGACAGTAAAATTCTTAATGCAGCTTTTTTTAAGTTACCTTGATTTTAGTTTGAAAGGTTTATTTCAGAGCTTCTCTATCCTGTCAGCAGGATTACTGGAGTTCAGTGTTTTTAATGCAGGTTCACAGACTGAGGAAGAAGGATGAGGTCCAACTTCTACAAGATTAGAAAGTATTGTTTCATCACACACTACAGGATATTATTAAGAGAATTTCTCCAGAGGCAGTGACACACCACCTCACGTCTGAAGTGACGTCATGGGGAAGCAGATGTAAATGGAGAACGTCTTGGAGCAACAACTTCTAATGTTAATAAATAAAACCAAATAGAGGTCAACTAGGGGTATCTATTCTTCAAGTGACAGTTAAACTGTCAGTTAAACTGTCAGTTATAATATCTCTCAAAAGTAGTATGCTAGCTGATGTTAGCCTCAGAAAGTTTACTGTTGCTTAGTTGCAACACCAGCTGCTCTGGTCTCTGTCTCTCTCATTGGCTGTTGTTGTTTTGTTCAGAAAATGCGAGGACTCTGTGGGCATTCCGGGAGGTTTAGGAACTGCTCTGTAACCCCTCACACTACCATATAATCTGGGCCAAACATCAGTACCGACCAAGGCTCCAGAACAGATTTCTCCTCTGATTGTCGAGGTTCAATCGGCCCGAAATTCCTGTCGTCTGACTCTGATCCCAGCTTTACTCAAATTATCATACGATGTGACGACCTGTTCAGACCTGCGTTTAACATCCATCTCGGGGTAATCCGATCACATGTGGACGGCGCTAAGTTCGTCAGTCCACACCTGGCATCAGAACGTGTCTCTACATGTGACTTGAGTGACCACTTGACATCTGATCTCACTTCCCCGCTCTGTATGCAAATAAACACATTGACAGAGCTGTTTGCAAAGACCAAACGTGATGTTGTTTTTAGCCAATCTGACTGTGGCCGTCAGGTCTGTTCTCAACGTGTGTGCGTGTGAGAGAGAGACCGACAGGGAGAGAGCAGGGCAAAGAGGATTGGGTCAATCAATGTGTAGAGCAGCTGAAAACTCTTAGTAAAGCAGCTGGAGTGGATCTTGCTGCGTAATCAGATTCTTTGACTGTGTTTTCTTAAGAAAGGAAATAAGAAAGATAGAGCACCTACTCCAATGATGTTATTAACCTCATGAGGATCTTTTATGTAGGCCAGCTCTCCAATCCTGCAGAGGTTGCATAACAGACTTACCTTCATGAACTCACCCTCTGCTCATTCTCTGTTTACTAGGAAAGCACTGAATGGTGAGGTGTTGGTTGCAGGAATAGATATATCATAAGTGTGTGTGACAAAGAAATGCAACTGTAACTATACATTTTGTTGTAAATAACTATAAATAAAAGGCCAATCAATTGATTTTTTTTTTTACTGTATTTTTTCTGTTTTTTCTCCCGTCACAGGAGAAGTGTGCTCAGTACTGGCCCACATCTGAGGAGAGGGAGATGGCCTTCAGAGACACACGCTTCATGGTCACACTGTTGTCAGAGGATACCAAGTCTTACTACACCACCAGAGTGTTGGAGCTGCAGAATATTCATGTAGGCCAGAGGATCGTTAAACACGAGGGGAACTTCCTGTAAAATAATCGCAAAGGTGGCAAAGGAGAACTGAAATGGTTCAGGAGTGTCACACCTAGACACTTCACATAAACCTGTGTCTGAGGCTTCTGAGAGCAGAAATCATCCTTGCAGTGACCTTCAGACAGATTCAACAAACACTTACCAGAGTTTCACTATCTCACACATCAAAGTTGTGGAGGTGGTGAGAAAATGCCAATGAGATGCAGATATTGCAGAAAAACAGATTTTTCAACCTGAGCAACATTTTGCAAAATGCCTTCTTTTTCAATCCTGGTTTTTTACATTTTAAATGAATACTTTAATTATAAAAACAGAAAACCTTAACTGAAAAAAATGCCTGAATGATCAGAAGAAAAACAAGAAAGAAGTTCATGTGTCTTAATTTGCTGTTTCGATGTGTCAGGTTTTCAGAGCCTGGTTTATCGCCTAAATTGAAAGTGAAACTGTCATAAATGTTTATTCAAGTGTCAGTCATTTCTAAAATAACTTTCATTGACCTTAGCCAGTACTGATAAAAACAGTCTTGAGAGTCTCACTTCAAATACTTAAGTTTTATTAGTTTTCTACCCACTAATATAACCTCTGGATTTTTTTGTCTTTCACAGACAGGGGAGAAGAGAGAGATCTACCACTTTCATTACACCACATGGCCCGATTTCGGTGTCCCAGAATCCCCGGCGTCCTTCCTAAACTTCCTTTTCAAGGTTCGGGAGTCAAGAGCGCTGGGTGTCGACCACGGACCAGCTGTGGTGCACTGCAGCGCTGGAATCGGACGCTCAGGGACTTTTTCATTAGTCGACACATGTCTCGTCCTGGTAAGCCTCATCTCTGGAGTTTTACTTTGGTCACTGCTAACAAATGACTCACCAGATATTTCGAGATTAGACTTTGTCTTGTTTGACAAATTTAACTGCCGTCCTCTGCAGATGGACAAGAGGAAAGACTCGTCATCAGTGGACATCAGAAGCATTCTGTTGGACATGAGGAAGTACCGCATGGGCCTGATCCAGACCCCTGACCAGCTACGCTTCTCCTACATGGCCGTGCTTGAGGGAGCCAAGTACATTATGGGAGACTCCTCCGTACAGGTACCCGCAGCACACACACAGATATATAACCAATCATACAAGTACTTTGTCATGTCACACACCTGAAGAAACTACAGGTGCAAAGACCTTGTTTATGGGAGACAAAAAACTAAAGGGCAGTGCGTGACAAGGACACCTTTTAAATGTCCAAACAGAAGAATGCCCCTATGACAAAAAAGATCGTATCACATGGAGTTTCTGTTTAACCTGTTTGCTTGAGGTTGATTTGCAAAAGAAAGATTATGCTGCATGGTATTTAAATCAGTTGATCATTTAATTCACAAATTTCAAGAATTTTAGGCCTCTGAAATATGTAAATAATGTTACATTCTAGGTTTTAAAGACATTTTGGTAGGTCTTTAATATGTTAAAGTTCATTCAATGCTACTTTCGTTGCATTGTTACATTCATTTTTTTAATTCATGAGAAATATTTTGGCTTTAAGTGTAAATTGTGATATCTCTATGTGTTGTACTTCCTTCTCAAAGCTACAGATATCCACATGCTTTAATAAAACTACAAACAGTAACATGGAAATGATAACTGTTAACCTACATCAACCCGGTCAGAATTGATCACAGTACACTGGGCTTGGCTGTGGAAAGGAATATGGACACCTACTGTCTCTGCCTGTAGTTTGTGAGATAGTGAGGGTTATTCTCTACTAGTCTTCTTCAAGTAAGGAAGTGTTAGTTATTCAGGAACTCCATATTATCCCTCATTTTTCGTAATTGACATAGGTCTTCATTTTCATTCATTGCAGTTCTTAAATTAAACTTGGTGAAACCCTCCTGCATCATAAGTAAAGAACCAATTATTGCCCTGGGGTTCATGTCCCCAAAAATGTCTTGTGTTATATATTGAATGGAAAAATACCCTCTGTCCACAGCCTCGTGTTTACATCTTTGCCTTATGTCACTGCCCTCAACTATTTCCTGTAAGATGAAGACAGGAAGAGAAACACACGTTTTACATGTGCTTCCAGGAAATTTGATGCTACTGTCATTTTTTAACCCCTTTGGCCCCATTTTGTTCCACCCACTTGTCTTAATAAAGTATAGTAGTTTTCTTTCATATATTACAAGGTCCTTATCATGATCTAAACCTAAATGTGACAATGGGACTCTGTCATATTCTCTTTTTCTCTGCCATTGCCTTCCTTCCTATTAAGCCTCTCTTCACAGGATAATTATTTTTCTTGGCTGATTGACTTTAGTCAAGAATGTTAGAAGTCAATAAGGAAGTTTCAGATCATAGTGTTTTGTATGAGTCGCTGTCCTGAACTGACTTAGCAGTGATTTCTGTTTCTCAAGCTACAGTGTTGTTAGCATGTGACCTTCTCGATCTTGCACAATAAGGCAAATAAACGTTATCACACAGGGAATTTTCCAAATCTTGTAATAAACAAATGAACCAACTGTAAGCTGTTTTAATCAGTGTCAACACAAATCTGGTGGTGTGATTTGATGAAATTATCCAAAGCAATTTAAAAGTCTTTGATGGATCCCTCTGAAATGTTTTTGTGTTTATTTTTGCATCAGTAGAAAAACACTTCTCTCTTCCCTGTTTAATGTCCTTGTCTCCATGTAGAACCGATGGCGTGAGTTGTCCAGAGAAGACCAGGAGCCGTCATCAGAGTCTCGGCTCTCCGCTCAGCCTCAGACAAAATGTCCGACAGAGCGATTCAATGGCAGCCAACGAGGGGGTCAGCTGGAGGAAGGAGGAGACTACAGGCAGGACGCCAAAGTACCTGCACAGTCTCCCTGCAAGGAACAGGAGCTGGAAAGCAGCACAACGCAGTCAGTACACTCAGCACAGTCTGTTGATGATAATCAGCCAAAGCCATTTTATTTCAGAACATTAGGGACATGTAATTTGAAAGAGACAGTTCACTTTTTATATTTTGTTTAAAAATTGTCCTGTGATCAGATCGGATCCAGATTGCAATTCTTTTTAACCAACATTTCTGTCATTCAATATAAGGTCTGTGTTCTCTCAACCTACAGGTGCCTGGAGGGCATTTCCTTTTGATGTCATAATGTTGCTGAACAGAGCTGTTTCACCCATTCCCCTTGTTTGTTTTTTTGCAGCAAGCGACGCAGAGAAGACAGTATCTCTAAATCAGGGACGGCCAAGACACCCCAAAGCAAGCCCAGGACAAATGAGTCAGAAAAGAAGAGAAAAAGGTGATTACATCCTCTGGATTGAAGCCAGTTCCTATTGTTTTTTGTGAACCAGGTATCATGTTATTATTGCATTCCAGGATGATTTGTCATTCACCATCACACTATTTCTTTTGTTGTCAGACAAGTGTCTTCCTCAATTCTTTCAATGTCAAAGAATAAAAGACATGAGTTAATTTCCAGCCTCGAGTCTTTTAACCTCACAGAGGAAATCCAGACTTTCCAGAGCATGACTCATCATGCTAGTTGCAGAACTGAGGCTTCATTTTATTTCTATTTCTAATTCTGTTTTTTCCTCTGTTTCATTTAGTGTGAAGCCACTTATTTAGCATTTGCCTCATTTTCATATAAAGGCTAGAGAAAGTCAGACCTGAGAAAACACTTCTTTCTGATGACTGCACCTCAAAAAAGAAAAAAAACTGCTCAATAAGTCACTTCTGAGAAGCCTTCCCTTTGTTGTGTGACATGTCAGTGTTGTTCCAGTAATACAGCCAAAGCTGCACCGTTTCTGACGAGGTCTCACTCTGCTGTTGTGGTTCTTCTCGGACAGTTTGGGCTGCATTTGCTGCACATGACAAGAGCAGGCCTGTCCAGCGGGGGGCAGCGTATCTTTACCCCCTTCTGAGACAGCAACAACAACCACGAGGAGCACATTTAGAGGAGGAAGTTTGCCCACAGCTTTTAAAAAGAACTCCCACTCTTGTACGTTGAGGTGTGTGCGTGTGCCTGTGTGTACTCGGTGTCTGTTGTGTTTTTCTCTTGGGGTTTTGTTCTTCTCTTTGTGATTCGCTTGGCTCCTGCGGTTTGGAGGTGTGTCGATTTTAGCTGCACTCTAGCATGGTGTGTTTGTGTGTGTGAGTGTGTGTGTGTGTGTGTGTGTATGTTTGGTGTGTGTGTGTGTCTGTTTGTACATTTGTGGTCTAATGGTTGTTGAAGCTCTAAAATGTCAGGTTCACCTGGATTAATATAAGATGCTAATCTCCACTGTGCATCAAACAGTATAGTTGGATTTGGTGGCACAATTCTAAATGAATGTCATTGAGTGAGTGAGCACAAAACACGTTTACAACCAACAGCCACAGCTTTGAACGTGAAACTACGACTATTTTGTTGGAAAGTCAGGTGGCTAAGACCGAGTGTAGAATTGTTAATGATCCCTTGACAATCGTATTAAGTTAAGTCCTTAAAGGATACATGTAATGCTCATGTTCAGAGTCATCATTTAATTTTGGGTCATTACTTGAAAAGTTTTATCTGCTCTAGTGTTAACTTTCCTTATTCTGTCTGTTGCTGCAGCTCCTCATTCAGTCTCTGTCTGAAACACTTGTCTTTAGTTCCTCTCTTTAAGACCCCTCCTCCAGATAAAGCAAAGTCTGCTCTGATTTTCCAGCTCATGTAAGAAATGTCAGACTCCTCTCTCGCTTCTCTTGGCTTTGTTATCGTATTGACTGGATCACTCACGAGAATCTGTGTGTAAGAAAAGATTAAAAAGCGTCTTATGTCTCCTTTTAAAACCATTCAAGAGTAAATCCTTGTCCTGGTTGAAGCTGTCAGTCAGTCATATCTAATGAACTGGAGCTGATTAAGGTTTGTTGCATGTTCCTGTTTTGTTTTTCCTGGTTCCTCTAACCACAGTTTTGTTGTGAGGTCGCCGTGTTTCTTTAGATCCTTCGCATGGCGATGTTGAAGTTTGAATTGAAGTTTTGGTGTTTGATTGTCACAAGGAGAGTTATAGTCAGGTCTGTAAGGGTCTTTGTTGATGTTAAATATGCTGAATGATCTGTTGAACAGTTGAAACTTTATGTTGTTGCTTGTTGTAATTGATCATGCTTGATATTTAGGGCTACAACCTTTTCCCCCCATTATCTGTTGAGTTAAAGATGGCAGTACAGGAGGCAGCAGTGCTCATCTTAAGTTCCCAAAGCCAGTGGCTCATACATGGATCAATACACACAAGATATTTGCTTCATATTTGACTTGAACGATTAGCCTCAAAGTTGGACTCATTGATTTATTAACTGTTCTAGCTCCACAAACCATTCCACATCACCCTGAAACAAGTCTTGGTTTAGTTTACGGATAATCCAATCTAATTATTTGCACAATAAAGAGAGAAACGTTTTTAATTTTTAATTTCTGTATATCTGAAAACGTCTGAACAGTGTGACATGTTGCTTTTTAAACACAATGGCTGCTTTTGCTGCACTGATAATCAATCTAATGAATTGGACAAAGTGATCTAAGACACTGGATTTTGCCACCGCCCCTGCTATCAGCTGAGCCACCCATCCTTTAGATTCACACTCCCTGTGGTAAAAGTTTTTATCCCTGACACTAACTTGATTTGTGGCACAAGTTGCTTTGATCACTCTTGAGCTTTACTCACACTTTCGGTAGAAAATAGTCTCTAGTTCAACCTCTTGAAATATTCTGTGTCTTGTGACAGGGCGAAAACCAGCGACTGCTAACCACCTCCACCTGTGGCCACGCGACTACAGCTCTGGCAGCAAAGCCAACATCGGCAGGGAACTCCAGCTCCCTCCTCTGAAGGAGCTCTGTCCTCCTCTTCCTCGACTCCAAACCACTCTCCTCATCTCCACCTCAACAGCCAGCTCTCCTCTCTCTTTATTTTCCATCGCTTCCCTTTGTGTCTCATCAAACAGCATTATTCAGCCTCCCTTTTCATTGCAACATGTCACTCCCACATCCTCCTCACAGCTTTCCCATAACTCCTCTTCCTCTCTGAACTGTTTACAGCTGACACTTTAACATTCTTTGAAGAGCAGACATTTGAAAAAGACAAACACACCAGCCCCCACGCAGCCCACACCTCAACCGCTACCCTCGCTGCTCCTGGAGTCAGGAAATTATTCTTTTGGCTTTAATATTTTTATTTACAGCTTTGTCTCTCGCCATCTTAAGCTTCTTTGCAATGACAACATTAGAACAGATAATAGCAGTGGCTATGCATTGCCAATTTGTAACGGTGTTCATATGTGTATTTTTAGAAAACCCTTTTTCAGAGACAAAAATGATAAATGTTCTATTTTTTATAAGAGATTACTTGAAGCTTTTCACAGTGGGGGGGGGGGGTCGGTTAAACGAAAAGCTCCTCCCACATGAGAAATTCAGTGGCGTGTAATGTTTTCATGATGTACATAGTGTTCTTTTTAAAAGATGTGTGTAAAATGACTTATTTTGTTGCTTGTAAAAAACAAAAACAACAAAAGGCACACGATGTTACAGATTTGAATACAGTAGAAAGATGACTCGTTCTCCTTTTTAAATGAATTTGTCTTAAGCTTTTCTCTCTCTTAGAGTAATCCAAAAAATAAAACTGGTATCATCTAGTTTATATAACAAACTGTGTTTCACTGTTTCTTTAACACAAATCCTCATCATATGTTGTCTTGAGCAGCACCTCAGACCTTGATCCCTAAAGAAGGATTTAAATTAAAGCAGCAATCAGAGATTTAGGGCAATAGACTCTTTATATAGTTTTCTGACCAGATTGATTGAAGGACTTTTTGGCTAGTCTTCATTTTCTGACCTGCCTTCAAAGGGCGTTTGAAAGACTTGGTTCTCAAGGTTCAGGTTGGTCTGTCATTTAGTTTTGAGAGTTAAGGTGATTAAGTTGGTTTCTGCTCTCTGCTAAATCCAGCACACAACAAGCTGTAAGATTGCAATTTCAGATTACACTTCAGTTTTTGTACAGCATTTACTAAAACGCTGTATGTGAAAGCCAGTAAGGTAATTTGCCAAAACATAAAACTAAAGCTCTATCAGGGATTTCTTCTAGATATTGTGAGAATTTTGCTTAACTTTTTAAAAGTAAATCATTATTAATAGCTTAATCAACACAAGTATTCTGTTGAGTACATTTAGGATGAGGCGTTGGATTTCCCCTTTTCAGAGCCAAACTTTCATTTTATGGTTCCTCAGTCGAGCTGGCAGGACATTCCTCTCACACGACCAACACGGAAAACCACTCACTTGGCAAAACAGCGGCACAAGGTCAAAGTATGAATCACACTTCTGTCTTTCTGTCACCGCGAGGTAAGACGTCAAACATGTCGTAGAGAGGAATCAAATAACAGAGAGGCGGGGCTGCTCGGAATAAAATGTGGCATCTGGCCAACCACTTTCAGTTAAGTAGGTGGAGGCAAGGTCCAGTGACCGTAACACAAACAAAGTCTTTATCTTTGTGAAGCATTCAGACTGGATTTATGTTAAAAAAAATTTATTGGAGAAAAAAAACTTTCAAATACTGCAAAACTACAATATTTCACAAGTGCACATCTGAGTCATACCCTGTACATAATGTAATATTTGTATATCTAAGGAATATTATTCAAATAAAGGAAACTGATAAGTGTGAAATTTAATATGGGGTTTCCGGGTTATTTGTTCAGACTGAGTAACTCAAAATACAGCGTCCAGTATTATCAGACAAAAAGCTTTCGATAAGCAGATGTCTGAAATACAAATACGTTCTTGCTGTAAAGTAAACCTAAGTGAATTAGAACATTGCAGGAGGGATGCCGCTGCCAAACAGAAGACTCCAGGACGGTGGGATCTTCCATTTGTTGGGCTCTTGGCGCTGAAACAGGATTCAGACAAACGCATGATTAGATATTTTAATCTTAAAGTTGTAAAATAAAGTCAAGTCGATATTTTTGTTCAAATTTCAAGTCTCTGAAAGTTCGGTTTCTTATTGCACTGAGGATTATTGGATCAATGAACAAAACTGCAGTATGAAACGTCTGGTTTGCTCCAATGTGTCACTTACAGGGTTGTCCAGCAGGTGGAGCCAGTCATTGAGGTGGTTGACGAGGGTGAAAGCGTCTGGTATGTTGTCGCCTTCAGAGCAGAAGAGCAAGATCACAGCCAGGGGAAGATCCTCCGCACAACTAAACACAACATCCAACACACACAGATGAATATATATACAAACCTATAATCACAACATATACTTTTATCTATTTAATTCAGGGAAAAAAACATTTTTTTGTCTCCATCGTATGGAAAACAACACGTGTTCCTGATAACCAGCTGAAAATGTAAAGGCATCTGGAATGAACCTCTTCAAAGTTTATGGGGTGAAAAGATATCAATACGAGTTAAGACTTAATGCAGAGATTAATGCACTCATGTGCTATTATAACTGTATTTAATGAGTGTATTACACCAGAATGCTACACAGCCAACTCAACACACATGTTCAGCTGCTGTAACTGGTTCATTACATAGAACCATGAGTCATGTTGAACAGAAAAACATCAGTTACCGGTGTATTTCTTTGCTTCTTAAACGCAGACATGGTCAAATTAGAAAACGTTTACTGGACCTCTACTCTTTATGTTTATTTATGTACAACCATGATTTGAGGTCTGTATGAATTTCACCATTAGGCTGATGCAGCTCTTTAACTCTACCTGTCTGTGTAGAGTCCTTTGGTGATGCCTCCTCCAGGGATGCTGAGGCGCAACTCTGCGTTGGTGTCCGTCAGTCCCGGGAAGGCCGGCAATCGCTCCATTTCCCTCCAGCCCAACTCCTTCAAGGCGTCTGCACTCACCTTCAGCAGCGACGGAGTGACCAGGTACCTCAAAGGAGTGCTACAATTCACACAAATACAATGTCTATTAGACTTGAGCTGTAAAGGAAAAGAAATGCAGTGAAGAATATTATTAATATTATTTTTTATTACCCTTTCATCTGTTGGTCATCCCTTTGGTAGGCGTGGCTGCTGGACAGAATCACAGTCCGAGAGAAGCCACTGGTTTTGATCCAGGACACGATCTGCTGACGGAACTTTTTGGATTTTGTCTGCAATTAAGATTAAGGTTAGAGCTTGATGGCTTTATGGAAACACAAACTACATAATCACAAAAATGTAGTTTACTCTATTAAAACATACCTAAAAAAAATTATAAAGCAAGGATTTTTTCTTCATGTCACCTTCTTCCACATCTTAATGCTTTGGATCATAATATGAATATGTTTTAAAAACAGGTTGACAGTGGTTTTACCTGAATGATTGGAGCTCTGATCTGAAGAACTGCCAACTTCAGTTCTGGCGCCGTATAAACTGTGGATGACAGAAAATTGACAGATTAATTCTTTGGACTCAGTGGATACAAATAAAGCTGCTGATGAACTGTTTCACAGTTTATTCAAAGTGTGCCAACAGTCACTGAGACTTTTTCATCTACGTGTTAAAGAAACATCCTTCAGTTTTTTATTCTAGTCCTTGACAACGATTTACTGAGAGAATGAAAAGTCATCATCGCTCGGCAACAAATGAAACAGCTTAATCCAAATCAAGTGAAAAGATGCTTAAAGACGGCACCTTCTGCAGGGGTGTGCAGCTCCTCGGCGTCTTCTCTGCAGGTGGAGTACGGGTTGTTCCCGGCCATCGGGATCAGACAGTCCGTGTGAATGTAGCCCACTCGTTTCATGTTGAGAGTGGACACCATGAGGTCCACCGCCAGCTGAGCCACGTTACCGACAGCCACAGCCGGCTGGAAGGACAAGAAACAACTTTGAATGCTCAGTTTGGAAATATGTGAGGATGTTGCCGCTTTTATTGTCTTAAAAAAAAACCTGTTGGTCTGGACAGAACAAGCGATGTGAAGTGGAATGGGTATTTTTCCATATTTAATGATGTTATACAAACTAAATAACTAAAACATGCCCAGAGAAAATAATTAGCAGATCAATCCATGATGAATAAACATGAATTGCAAACCTATAGTAGTAGTTA